ATATAAAGTTATTTAAATCCATTGCAATAACTTCAAAATTTGTTATGTGAAATTACTTAAAATAAATTGCAACCATGACTTCTCTAATGCATTAGTGGTTATAGAGTAAGACCTTTGAAAGAAACTGTGTGACTGTGAAGAATTCCATGAAGTGTAGCTAACACTGTCAGTGAAACTTCTACTATAAGAAAACTGTACAATTGATATGGAATTAAAATAATGAATGACACTCATTATTGAGAAAGAAGCTCAGGTTTCCATTAGCTGGCTTGTGGCTTTTTGAAAGAGGACAGTAATATTATCTTACTTTGCTTCTCAAAAAAACCCAAACAAATGAACAAAAAAAACCCCACTATCCAAAAACAACCACAAAATCAAACCAACTTTTTGTATGGTTTGAATTCCTGTTGCTATTCAATTCCAAGTGATCACTGCATGAAGGCATCCCTGGATGTGACCCTGGGGGTCTGGGACCAGCCCTCACATCACTGAGGGACCAGCTGCAGAGACCACCAGAGCTTTTTGCCTCTTCACGTCCTACAGAAGAGCAAACCCAAGCTGCCCTTTTCTCCTGGTGCCCCATCATGTCCTCTGCTCAGAGGAGGAAAAACACCATTCCACGTTTCCTTGTGTCTGCGGCCTGCACCATCTATTGAACCCAAGCACTTTCTGAAAACCACGCTGGATGACTCTTGTTTTCAGGAGGAGGTTTGGCATACATGGAGGAAATTATATTTGGATAGTAGATAAAAGTTTCAGAATCCTTGATGTTTGTCCCCTTCCTTTTCAGTAAATTCCACTTTGGTTTTCAGAGTGCCACCTTCTCAGCTTGGTGTTCTTTGTGTCCTCCTTTCTCTTCTGCCTTCTTTGCCTGCTCTGTTTCTTTCCTGGTGTCCATCTGTACCTGTGGCACCTCAGCCAGAGTCTCACCACATCATTTTTCCCAGTCCATGTGCTAAACCAGCCCTGGATTAAGTTACCAAGGCTGGCAGTGAGGTGTCATTGTAAGACCTTGCTCCACTTGGGTTTCAGCCCTTTCAGAGCTTTGCCTCAGAGAGCAGGAACATCTTTTCCTTGCTGGAAACTGGAATTCCAGACCATTGCAGTGTGTGCCATGGATCACAGAGGGCTTCCTTTGCTTGAGATGAACATAAACCTTCAGAGACCTTTTAAATGAAGGATACCAATTAATACTGAGGGATAAACCATGTTTTCTGACTGATAGGAAAATGCACCTTAAAATCAAGTTTTAATCAACATGAATTCTTTCAAGCATACAGCTACTACTTCAGTTATCTTCCACAACAGCAGTGTAGGTTCAAGCTACATTTTAATAGGAACACAGAGATGTGGCCAGATTTAATGTTCTTGATTGTCCCATGGGCAGGTGCTAAGAGATTCAGCAGGATGCATGGAAACACACAAACACTTCCCCTCCTACTATTTTTGCTTAGAAAGTTTAAGATTACATGAGAAACCATCAACTTTCTGCCCAACATCTTAACTGAGAAATGTATTTCTGAGGTAAGAATTATTTATTCATGTACAGGTCTGAGAAAGAGGCTTAACTCTGAGGCTAAACTGTAAGGAGTCAAGAAGTTTTTTGTGCTTGCTTCAGTCCAGCTTTCACAGGATTAGAGCAGGAGACTGTTAAAAATCACTTAAGGGGAAGAAAGTAAAAATTACTATTGGTGCACTTACTGTATCAGCAAGCAAAAAACTCCCAAAACGCTGCAAACATTTAAATGTGGGATGTGGCTTTTTATTTTGTTGTGTAGTATCAGTAAAAATAGTCTCCTCTATCCTAAGCTTGTGCACTCATCCCCATGGTGTACACATGAGGCACAATTATTCAGAATTTATTTCTGTTCTGTTGGTCAATGATGTGCTTCCTGTTGTGCAGATATTTTGATTTATATGTGACTATTTGACATAATGTGCAGCAGTTTCCTTGTCAGGAGTTATGACTATCTCTGAGCTCATTAAAGGTAGAGAATAAATTAGTCTGAGAGACAGGTTTATGAAGGAAATGAATATGCTTCACGTAAAAAAAGCAGATTTTTTTATGGTGCCTGCTTTAGCTCATCCTCAGTCAATTTAACTTATAAAAAGATAACTCTTTACTATAATAGTCAGGAAATATATATATATATATATATATATATTTCTGTAGATTTCAAAAATCCTTTTCTACCAAGTATTTTAAAGCCTGCTATTGAGTTCTAACAGCCTTCACTAAAATTGTTGAATACTATCTGCAGTGGAAGAGAATGGGGCCAGAACTGTTTGCATCTAGGATTTCAATGCAGATTTGCAAAGCACCCCTGCAAGCTCTGGCAGCATTTCCAAGTATTTCTTTAAGTAACAGCACTCTGAAATAATTTCCTTATAGAAAATTGAACAAATACTGGTTAGTCTGTGCTTTGACTTCTCCTAGTGGCTCTAGTACCCAGTTTTTGGAGTATACACACCAGCCCAATGCTGCTCAGGTTGCAACACCTTTGTTGTGTTTTCAAAGTCAACTGAGTAACCTTCATCAAGTTTCTGAGGCAGGTAGTGGTGTTTTCTTTTAGATATGAGTGGTACAACATTGTTCTTAACCAAACCATATAAAAATAAATCCACTGCTAAAACACATGGAAGAATTTGGGTTTAGTGATTTTTAAGCATGTCTATCTGGCAGTGGCCAGGAATCTAAACTAGGCTACCTTTCCCATGCAATAATCTTACCACTCTGACACACTGAGTAACCTAGTGTACTTTTATTAGGTAAATGGAAGCAGAGGTTAATGAACATTTATTGGACCAACTTAACACCTTGAAATCACAGGCATCAGTCAGACTGAGAGGCAGCATACCGATAAGATCAAGTTTTCTTTACAAATCTATGAGCCCCTGTACAAAAATAAAGTATAAAAGGGGCAAAAGAAACATTTGTTTCTTCCCAATCCCAGGGCTGCTTCTGAGGTCACATTCAGCATAAATTTAGAGAAGTCCATGTGGCGCTCCAAATTATGCAGTGATATTTACAGTACCAGAAGGACCCTTCTCCACTTGGAGACAAAAAGCCAACAAACTGTTAACACCAGCTTTACACCTGCACGAGCCTTCCTTATGCAGGTGAGGCTTCCAGCTCAATTTCTGCAGCCTTGTGCCCTCTACGTACCACACAAACAACAGAGATGCTTCAGAAGGGTCTGAGCAGGGTGGGAGGATTGGACAGACTGAGGAGTCCTGGGCTTGCTCTGCCTGGGACTGTGCTGAAATCTGCTCATGGAGCTCACTGTGTGCTGTGGATCTGCTGAACATAAAGCCTAGGCAGGGTTTCCAATTTAATCTTTTGCTACTGAAGGTTCCTACAAGGAAAACAGACTGTGGTAAAGAGGAGGCAAGACAGGATGGTAACTGTGTGCTTTACAATTTTTGTCTCTTGATAAAAGCTTATACAGTGAGAATAAAAGAAACAAAGCTCTCCAGGTCAATCTTTCTACTGTGTAGCATTAACTACACAGTAGAAAGCTACTAATGGTAGCTCCACTTAAGAGAAGAAAAGGTATTAGTTACACGAAATCACTACTTATTGTCATCTACATAAGGCAGAAGCACCCTCATGGGGCCTTGTGAGATTTCCTTCCTTATGAGCTGGGTACACAGAACTCCAAGAAATTCACATTAACAGAGTCAAAAGTGTAATTAAAACATTTATGGTAGACGATACTCAAATTATCAAAATTACTTTACCTGTTTAATGCCATAAACATTTGAGATGAAAAATGTGTCACTGAAATCAGACACCAATTCTCACCAGAGAAGTTTGTATTTCTAACATCAGAAACACTCCACTGCTTGATTTTCAGTAGGTCTTCCCATCTTTGTGCTTTGCTGGGAAAAGAGGTAGTTCTGAGAGGGAATGAACCTGTCACTTCCACGAGCTCAGCCAGGGTGGACTCACCACTGCAACAACTGCCTACAGGACACCAGCTATGGTTCACCCAGCACTACACAACACAACCACTTGAAAAATTACCTCTTACTCACTGAGTAGTTCACAGTTTGCACCATCCCCTTCTTGTGGGGCTAAACCCAGAAGTGATGAGCACCTACAACTCTTCTGGCAGCTCCCTTGCTTCCCTCCACGCCGACTCTCTCATCCATTTCTTCCCACAAAACTACAAACTCAAGGGATCCGGGTACAGCTCTTGTTTTGGGATGCAGCCACAGAACTGGGACTCCAGCTGTGGCACTAAGGGGTAAAGTGATGGATGAATTTCCCTTCCGTGGGCTGCAAGCTGGGCTGTGAATGCTGCAGGAAATAAAACACCTCTGCCTGCCCTGCCTGGGTGGGAGGAGGTACAGCCGGACTGAGATTTCAGCTGTGGATTTTACAAGAATTGTAAACATGTTTGACCACCCAACCTGCAGAAGGAGTAGGCAGGACAAAATTAGCAACAGGATTTCCCCTGTGAGAAAGATTCAACCTTGTGAACCCTTTTCTGATTGCACGTGCAATGGTCCCACACAGCTGGAACAGCCCACAGACCAACTCCAGCTGCAAGTTCCACTTTGAGGAAAGTCTGTATCGCTGTATCATTTTGATATAAACACTAAAATTCATACTGTACAACAGCACAGCCAACCAAACTTTGAGGAGAGGTCATTTTAAAGAACAGTGTGCTTCTGACACCTAGAAAGGGGTGGCAATGTCTGCTACCTTTACCCACTTTCAGAGAAAATGCAAATCATGTGAGCCAGTGAGAGCATGAAGAAGGAAAATGAAGTGCCAGGTCCATCCATGGTTACACTTTCTTAGTTGGCTCTGCCCTAATTCCAACTTTGTGGAAGGAAACCTGTGCTGATCCAGGAGGAGCAGAGCCCCTGGGACAGACTGCAGGCTGTGTCCCTACAAAGGCTTCCCTTAAAGACACTTTTCCTTACTGCACAAGTCACTGATTTGCTCTTGAAACTCCCTGTGATGAAATGAAGCACCCAAAAGCATTTAATTGTTGAACACATAAAAGGAAGTATATTTAAAATAAAAAAAAATTGGTCAGACTGTAGAGTCAATTACCATTTTTAAAGTAATTTACAGGGCTGTTGTAGATGAGTCTTTTGGAATAGTCAGTTTATCGCAATGTCTAAACTGGTTTCTTCATTGCACAGTATTTTCTTTTAAAATGTGTGCATCTTTAAACAATTACATACATATTAAAAATCAGCATTTCTTTGCTTCAACTTAATTAAAACGTTAATACTCTCAGACAACACAGATCTGAAATGGTGAAACCAGTAATTGCCCCCTCCCACCTTACAACAAATTAAATTGAGACAAAATTACAAACACATTTCACTACATGATTATTATTAATAAAAATCAGTTTTTCTTTTTTTTTCTTTTTTTTAGAAAGTTGCCCAAAATGCAAGGGATGTGCATAGGTTTACAACTTAGTCAGAATAATATTTTGCTTTATTCCCTTGGGTACGTGTTCCCATGAACGGAATGTACTTTGCTGTAGATTACAGGTTTTATCAACACAGATACACCAACGGCATGAACGCTTGCGACTGTCCACATGCATTAAGAGTCAAGACCCAATTTCAAATTTTTAAAACTTTTACAGAGTTCTTCAAAGAGACAGTATCACATTATCTGGATGTTACACAAAAATACTTAAAAATACTATCCTAGGAGGAAAAAAAAAAGCGTGAAAAAAAAAAAGGCCTTTAAAATTTATGAATTTGTTTTGTAACCACTAGACTAATTACTTCAAATAAATAAAGGAAAGCAAAGTATTCCAATCCATAAAATCAGACTCTAAAAAGAATGTAGTGTTCCACCCCCAAGTTAAGGTAACAGAATCATATTATTATTACTATTAAAATAGATTATAGAAAGCAGCATCTATTTTGTGCAGTTTTTAGGGGCCCTCGAAATAAAAAGCTATGATTTCCAAAAATATAACATTCCAAAAGACTGAATAGTACATATATTTAAAGATACATTTTATTAAAGTTTAGGAGAAATGATTAAAAAAAAGATACTGTCTCTTTAAATTAGTGTTTCATCTTTTGTTCCCCCTCCTCCTATCTATTCGGACATGACAATAATTATATTTTAGGTCACACTACATCTAGGTAGTCTCTAGGGGCCAAGACCTGTTGACACAAGGTCAATAACGAAGAGGTTTTCCATGTATGAGGTGGTTCCCAGTAATGACAGATTTTTTTTTTTTTTCTCCTTAATTCTCCCATTCCCGGTCTAGTAGACCCAGGAGACCGGGACCCACTGGGAGGCTGTACACACGAGCTCGATGGCTTCCTCCAGGTGCCTGATGGTTTCATCAATCTCATTGTTGATAATTGTTAGGTCAAAGTAGTGTGCATATGTTCTCTGTAAGATTTCCGACTCCTTCTGCAGGCGCTGAAGGGATTCATCCTGTGCGGCGGCCGGGAGAGAAAACGGGAGAAAAGAAAAGTTGGATCGTTTCGTGCTCTTCCACAACAGCTTCTCAGCTGAGAAGGGGATGGGTAAAAGGACCTCAGGGAGTCGAGGTGCTTTAGCTCTGCCACCTACAGCTATGGGAATCACACAGGAGAAAGGGCACAGTTTCCCTCTGGAAGCTGACACTCAAACAGCACTCGGTTACTGACGTTCTTGGAGACAAAACACAGCTCTAGAGTTAAAAAAGCAAGGTAGAGGATGGAAGCTTGGAAAAGCAGCAATGGAGACCACATGTGAATAAATCAGACCTGGTGCACAAGTAAGAGCTATTGGGCCTATGTCCCAGTGAGAATGTGAGAAATGGGAGGAGGGGGAGACGCTGTCAGGTTATCAGCTGTTCCCACTTTTAGTAATGTTTTCTGTTCCACACCAATCCTCTGGGTCTGCTTCCTTTAAAGGCAATTTACTGATAAGGAAGTTCTCACTGCACATCACTCCTCTGGCTTCTATCTCAGAGCAGGGCATTTCCAGCCCCTCTCCGTGGGAGATCCTGGAGATGAACCAGGCAGCCTGGACATCAGACCTTTGCTAGTGAGGTCTGCCTGCCTGAGGCAGCTGGATGACAAAGGCTTCTTCCCAAGGCTCTGCAGCAATTTTAAGTTTGAATTCTCCTCCTGCAAATTTCCTTATGAGTTAAAAAAACCCAACAAACCCATTTGCTGTTTTTCAGGAACCTTGAAAAACCCAAAGGAAAGCAATCAAGTCTTTCCTGTCCCACAGGTTTGAGGTGGATCTGGTACAAAATGATTCCTGCTGCTCTGCAGTATCCATAGGCTGACTCTACTTGATCAATCAGCTGGGATACACTTTTCTAAAAAGAGTTTTAGGCTGCAGAAGTACAGACACATTGCCCACAGCTTTGTCACTAAAAATTCTTCTGGAAACAGATTTTTATCCAGCTGTTAAGATGACCTCCCCCTTTATTTTTTTTCTGTTTCGCCTTCCCAAGTATTTGTAATTAGAGTGACAAATAGCTGTGGAACAACAGCTTTCAGGTCCCCTGAAGGAAACAACCTGCTCTGAGACAGTTCTCCTTCCCTGCAGCAACGAAACCAGCCACTTCTGGAGGAGAAGTTCTCTGAAGTTCAGAGTTACAGTTCTGCTTCTCTCCTGAAGCTGCAGCCTCAGATGGGGAGGGGGCTGTGTGGTGTGGTTGTCATCACTGGAAAATTATTACAAGTTCCCTTCCAAGTAAGGCAAATACTCCTCATATGCATTTCTGAACAAGGGATGTTCCCTGCATGGGCCATTATGCACCACCAGCAACTCCTGGAACTTCTGTAGAAAATTCCAGTGTGTGCAAATTTAATTTATGCTATTAAAAAAGAGAACAATGGGGATCAATACTAGTATTAAATATTTTTGTAGATTATTTCATTTGGCTCAGTGTCTTTAAGCCAAAACCCTACTTAGGTGAATTTCCAGCTTCTCAAGAGATTCCAAAAGAGACATCAATTTTTATCAGCTGAGCATCAAGCCTTTCCTGCTCAAATTAACCTACAAAGGAATGTCAATAACTTCTCATGCAGACTATTGCAATTCTTCAACTGTATCCAGCTAAGATTAATTTTGTATTTATAGTCTGTCTTGTCCAAATCATAGTGCACCTTGAAAATAGTTTTGATCTCATGACACAGGGCTATCAGGACCTGAGAAGCCCCTAGAAGCCCTGGAACTGTTAAGCCCTTATGGAGATTTTGAATAATTATTCAGATTTCCCATCAATGTTACTTTTACCTATAGATATGGACCTTTCTCACTACAGCACCAATCCTACTGTGACTGACAATGAAAACCTGAAAATCTTACAACTATTTCATCTTAAAAAAAGTGAGCTGGTAAAGTTTACCTTGCACACACAAAGGTTCCACAAAACTAAGTGTTTCAAAATTTCATTAAATTTCAGTATTTTTCTGACTTAGCTTCTCCTAGATCCAACTTTACTGGGACCAAAGTGGTCTTTATTTTGGAATATCTAAATTTCCCAGGCTGCTGGGAATGTAAATCATTACTTCCTTCATATACTTTAATGGGCAGTACTAAGTTTGGGATAGATCATTGCAATAAGTTTCAAATAGGTTCAAACTTTCTTAAGCTCAGCAAAATGAAGAGATCAAAGCTCTTGATTTGTGTTTCATTCTGGGACTAACTTTCACCTGTGTTTGGGATAGAGTATCTATTTGTACATGTCAGACTTGGCTGTTTTCTCTGAGTCTGCAAGACTTAAATACCAAAATTCATCTTTGAAGCTAGCTGTAATCAAAGTATTTGCTGTAGTAAGTTCCTCTCAATTTCTCCAAAATGTCTTCATTAAATTTTGCATACTGAACATCCCAGCTTATGTTCCAAGAAGGAAATTCTTCAGCAGTTGTGCTCTCAATAGTGTCAATAAAAAGATATTTATCAAAATATTCAGTGAACTGCAGACAAACAAATGGCCACAACTTCTGAAATTAACATTTGGGAGCACAACATCTGCATTTCCTTCTTCCCTCAGCTCTTGTGCAGTAGGAATTTTATGTGGGTCTAGTTGCAGTGTGACCATTATTGGATCAGACTTTTTCTTCCTAATTCAATTCACTTTCCCAATCTCTCCTTTTCCACCACAGCTGAAAGGAGTGAAATGTGGCTTTGTCCATGAAATACCCCACGTACATAAAAGCCACCAGTGGCATCTTCACTCTCTGAGGGCTGGGCTTTTTTGGCCTGAAACTACATACAACAACAGCTACCACTTGTGGCAATCAAAGCCCAGCCCCAAAAAATTACCAATATTCCCTTCTAAGGTTGTGGACGATGTGTAAACACCATCAGGCCTTTGCCACTTTTGCTTCAACAGAATAAATTCACAATTTAAACAGCTGGTGAGCTCCACACTTCCTAAGAAAAATTCTCCTTTGGCTGTAGGAAGGGAGAAAGCACAGCTCAAAGTCTGAAGAATTTGGCTCAATAAAGTTTGCATCAAACAAATGGAACCTGTGATCTCTTTGCTGCTGGCTGGGTAAAGGAGGCAAGAACAGCTGGAGGAAAGAGGAACTACCCCAAGGTTTTCTGATGCACTCTCTCCTCTATTTTAGCACATCAATCATCAGATTTTAGCTTCCTCTGTGATTAGACAGTGGGTGCACTGTGGGATTCCCTGTATGATTTACATTGGTCTTGTGCTTTGCAGGACTGCTCAGGGTGCATTGCTATATTCACTGCAAAGGAAAAGATTTTGTGTCCTGATTCTTGCTGTGTGGACCTTGATTACTGAGACATTTTGTGTGGTCTTTGACAGGCTAAAGTGTCTCAAGAGACACTGTTAGGATCAGGCCTCTGCACTGGTTTTACCACAAAGTTCAGCTATACATCTGTAAGAGTAGAATTTTTACTCAAAATCTTCTCTTTTTGCTAGCAGATAATTTTAGTGCAGATATCAAAAGTCATTATTATATTAAATTTTGACTCCAATGGCAAAAGTAGTGTTGAATGAGAACAAGCATATCTACATTCTAGAACTACTGCAATAACCAGGACTACCTTGTGAGCCCCTAGCTGGTACTTACAGGCAGTTTTCTGCACCATTTTGGCAGCTATGTACAATTAGGACGAATGCAGGAAAATGAAAAGAAAATCAAAGATGAATTTTAAGAAAACATGGGAAGGGAAAAAAGGGACAGTCATTACAGAAGTGTTCTCAAAAAGTGCAAATAAAACAAAGCAGGGCAAGAGGATCAACAGAAAAGGACACTCATTATGCAAATGAACCTTTCAAAAAGGAAGCATGAATGGGAAATAGGAAACACACACTCCTCACCCTTGTTTGCTGCCCTGCAGGCTGTGACACACAGACATACTTTGCTTATCTGCCCAGAAAACCTTGGAAAACAGGATTCTGTGTGTGGGTAAGGGCTGTTGCTATTACCACTGCCTGCCCCTCCCTTTCCTTTAATTAATAAATTAGCATGATTAATAGATTAGCATGTTTTGTAAGTGTGGCCTTGGCTCAGGAATTCATGTACCTGGGTGAAACCCTGCAGGCAGAGAGATTTTTGGCACAGGAGCTTAAAATGGGTTTTAAAGCACAAACTCAATATTTTACTTCTGCTAATTCTTTGGCATGAAGTACTTCCCCACCACTACTGTACAAGGCACATTTCTGTTCTCTTCCCAGTGTATGAGGGAAATATTTTCTGCCTCACATGAACTGTCCCAAGTAGCTCTGCATTACATCCTACAGCTGGAAGATAAAAATTTAAGTACCACTGGCAGATGAGTGTGGCCAAGGAAAGACTATTTGGGAGCTGAGGCAGGTATGGAGGCAACAAGCCTGAGCATTTGTGTAATTTTATGGGGTACCTGATGCAATGCTCTTTGTTTACACAGAGGAAAATTCAGTGTAGATGACAAAATAGTATTTTATCCAGATTGTACTGATTCACAGCATCACACCAGCAGTTACATGAAGTGCCACTTCACTAACATGGCAAGTTGTGCTGTGCTGAGGGATCCTGGTTCTTACACTCTTGGGTTGTATCATTAGGATGTGGGTCCCTAAGACACAGTGAAATGACAAAATGCTGTGGAAGTGAACAGAGCCATCTTCCCCCTCCTGTCCCTCTTTCACTGCTTTTTCTAGCACTGATGCTTAAAAATTGACAAAACTCCAATTTACAGCTAAAGTAGCTCACTAAAGCATCATAGTGAACTAGCAGAATGCCTCAGCTGTCAGTAAAATTCTAGCCTAAGACCAAAATTCTTCACTTTCCACTTTTGATTTGAATAATCATTCAGGTTATTTGCATTTAAATATGCTGTCTTGCTCCTTCCTTTCCTGCAAGCCTATGCAGTGATGCCATAGCTTCATGCTTATAATATTGTAATTACATTACTATAGAAACTTGCTGTAGTGACACAGCTTCTGACTTTGTGTTTTGATGATCAAGGAGACATCTAAGATATTTGGAACAGATTCATGATCAAATCCAACAGATTAAATCCTTTAATATCATGGTTTAAGGAAGACTGAGCAAATTAAGTGTTTGTGAAAAAGGAGTTTGTGTTAGTGTCAGCTAAATCAAGAATTGCTTGGTATCCTTGAAATCAGCAGCAATCTGCAAAGCAGATCCCTATACAAACTAAGTAGGAAATGTATGATGTGGACCTCCATGAATACTCAGCATCATTCCACAAGCAATTACCCCTTGGGTCAAAGATTCCAGCTTAGAGGACAGTTGTCAAAATGAACAAGCCTATTTCTCATACATATTTGCTGTGCAGAGAAAATGCTAAAGCTGAAGGTGGGATCAGTGCTGGCATTGCAACTCACACTTGAGTAATTTGTGCCAATGATTTGGGAATGACCTCTGAGCTGGAGCAGGGAATGAAATATAAGAATATGCACTTTTATCATACAGCACATGGATCCTTCCTCTTGAAGCCCATATTTTAAATTATTGGTTTTATTTTAAACAATAAATGTATGCCAATCAACTTAATAAAGCTGTCAAGTTATTTTTCTGCCTCTTCATTTACAGACAAGGAAACAATTGAAGAGTCTGATTTGCACATTTGAATCTCATCCTTAATTCTGTCTCTGCCAGGACATCAGATTGCAACGTGCCATACCTCATTAATGCCTGGGGTAATCGTAGGTGCAGCAATAAAAACAACAAAAGGAGCAAACTCTGCAGTTCTCAGGACCTTCAATGCCTAGGGGGAAAAAAATCAGATACTTTAGAGGAAACCTCCAACAATCAATGTGAAGTAAGTTTAGTCACACAAGAAACAAATTCATGACCTACCAATGCTGGATTTGTTATTAACTGAATTGGAGTCAAGACCTTAGTAATACAGACACTTATCTTTTTCTATTATTTTGTATTTTTGGTGGTCAAAACATGTATTTATCCTTAATTAAAGAGAGTTTATGATACAGTAAAAGCTTTAGCATTTTCAGAGTGCTTCTCCCCATACAGTCTCAAAGAGTGTGAAATTCTGTTTACAGTTAAACTGAATGATGAAATGCCATGTAAAAAAAAAAAATGCAATTATGCCATAAACAGGGAAAAGAGCCAATTGTGTTTTAGAATATTGATTATAAATTTTATTATTATAAAATATTTTTAAAAAACATGAAAATGTGATGTGAGAGGTTTAAAGTGTTTAAAAATTGCGCATAGCACTAAATGCAGTAAACACAGCTCCAATCTCCTTAACCAAATCTGTGCAAAAGAGTTCTCATTGAAGAGCTGCCTTAATGAACTAAGTGACACAGAGCTGCCATATGTGACACTGTCGCAGATCTGGGCTCCTCTGAAGTGCAGGACAGTGGGTTCAACACCTCAGCTGAACTCAGAGAGATGGACAAGATAAAGTCAGGCTGCTAAAGGTCACTCTGGTTTTGCTCTTTCCATTTCCTCTCTTCTCCAAAGCTTTTTCTTTTTGAAGAAACCAATAAAACAAACCCCCCCACAGTCCACCCTTTCCTGGAGCTGAAAGGTTTTCATCTCTGCTGTCACCAACAGGAATCACCTCTGCCAACCTGCTCCAAAAAAGAGAAAACCCCGTAACTGAAATGTAAGAAAACCCATAAGAGTGCTCAAGGGAGAACAGGCAAGTGGTTTAAGACAGCCAGGAATAAATCCACAAAGAGCTTGGCCTCAGTGAGCTGAGACAGATGAATGAGGAAGCTGGTTAGCAAAGTGGCTTGCTGGACATGAGCTGGAGGAAATGTGGCAAAGGCAGCTGTTACCAAATATATTCTAACAAAGATTAAAATCTCTTCTGAGAATTGTACAGCTCTAGAATTATGCATATTGAAAAAGTTCATCAGGAGAGTTTGCTGTTAACAGCTGCTCCATTTGAACTAACTATAAATGCTGCTCTCCCTGAATGCTGTTAAATGTGGGATTTTATTTTTAAGAACATCACCACACCATCATACTCTTAACTGTATTAAATAATTTAGTCAGGTATCTCATTTCTGTTGTGAAATTCTTAGAAAAATTTGAACTTCCTGAATCCATTCACAAAGAAGAAACAAGTCATCAAATTTAAGTAGATAACACTGGTCACAATTTTGTCCTTCCTCCCATTTCCTTCCATCTGCTAGAATAATATAAACATCACAATAGTCTATATTCATGTTGATTCACTTAACAAAATATATAAACAGATCCCTGTGAATTGAAAGTAATGACTACACAGATGTTTCAAAGGAAATGTATCAGAATATTCCACAGAGTTTCTACAATGAATAAATAAACTATTAGTGTTTCTTGAGAGACTGATTTTTCTTTCTCCTTTGTGTTCTTTTAACCATATGATTACTAGAATTCCACAGATTTATATCCTGGTGGTCCAAGGACTTTTGTTTCACATCACTTTAAGCAGCACTTACCTAGTGTGCAATCAAAAAAAACATTTAAATGAAACAAAGTTGAAGGATTTGTGATAAGTCCCATTTTTATACACTTCTAATTAGTTACCTGAGGTTCTACATCAAGTATTGCAATTAGTCCCTGCTCATGGATCTTTCGTATTGTTTCCAGTTTTGTCCCATACATTGCATCCTCATGGCTGCCATATTCCAAATATTCATTGTTTGATATATCCTGCATCATTTGGTCATGTGATACAAAGTAGTAATTTTTGCCATTTTCTTCATCTTTCTTTGGAGGTCTGGTTGTGTCTGAAAATACAGAATATTTTAGTACAGAAGCAATATTAAGGTTATGTATGGCTTCTTTTGTCTGTTTGTTTATCAATAGTTATTCACTGAACTGAACCTGTCAAATCACACATAGAGCAATGAAGTATGAGGCAGTTAGAATGACAGGCACTGGGAAAAGCAGGAGTTTGAGGGATATGTGCTGGGAAAAGCAGCAATAGAGTCCCTAGGGTCTACTGAACTTAAGATGCTCATATTTCTCCTAAATCCTCTTCTGTCCTAAAAGAATTTCCTTTTTTTTTTTTTTTATATAAGTTTTTATGAGGTTTTTATGACTGTGAAAAGGATAAGTCTAAAAAGCAGTTTAAAATTCTGATTACCTGTGGTCAAGAGAGGTAAAAGCTACTTAGGAATAAATAACATACTTTTTGAATATTGCTTCTACAGACTTATGTGGTAAGAGAAGTACGGCCTACTAATCTTTAGAATTAACTGCCATTGTGTGTGACCTGATATTTTTGATCTGGTTTTCAGTCTGCAGGTAATTTCTTCATAAAGCATTCTTTCAAACTCCTCACCCAATTTAAGGCCCATTTCAAAAGTTACCTATTACACCATGGTTTTATAAAGGGATGCAGAAAATGCATCTTCTTAGTCTTACAGAATCAGTGAAACAATTTCAGTGCTTCCACAGAGCAGGAACCTAAGGCATGTTCACCATGGTATAGATGAGTCCATTTTAAAAGCATCTGCAAATAAAACCACTAGTTTCTGTGAAGAAAATTAAATGAGTGTCACTTGTGAACCATGTATGGCGTTTCTGAGGTCAGTCTGAAATAAAGTGGACAGGTAGGTGCTGGATGCTCTCGTTTTGGTGTGCTTAGCTTGAAGAAAAATGATGCATCTCCAAGAGACCATGGAATGGGATCTGCAGTTCCTGCAGGGTATTGATTGTCATGAAGGGAAAACACCTCTGTGCTCTTCATAACAACCCACTGGGGTAAGCAGTGAAATTGATTGTGTTTTCTTTTACTTAGTGCCATCTCTGGAACCTTGAAACTATTTTAGTGCAATACCAGTCCTTAAGACTTGGATGTGTAAAGTAATTAAAACACTACAGGCTCATATTTCTTCTCATGAGAATTATACACAGTTAAAAATGAACATTCATTTTAAATTAACAAACATTTGGGGTAGAGAGAAGTATGTCTAACAAGAAGTTTTGTGAAAAATAAGGAGTATTTGATGCAAAGTGGTGTTACTTTCCACCCTGCCCGTTGACAAAGCAAAAGAACCACACCCAGCCCTACACAGCTCCCACCTTCAAGGCAGGATTTGTCTCAGCTGAGCTGAACACTGGCAGGAGAAGAAGGGGGGAGCTGTCAAGGAGGACACAAACAATTGTGCAGCACATTGAACCCTGCTACTTACGAGGAATGGGGTAAGCAAATCTGTCCGGGTGTTTTGTGATGAGTGTGTTTTTTATGTGTCTTCTTCCGACACCATGGGCACCTGAGCCACAACACAAAAAAATCATTTAGAAATATTCCACCAGAAAGGCTTCAAAGCTATGATGCTATGTTCAGAAAAATTACTGAAAATTACCTAGTAGGACTAGTGTTTTCCTTTTGAATGCTGGCAGCTTTACTACTTCTTCATATGTGACGAGATCTAATTGATCAAACACTAAAACACAAAAGAAAGCCCCAGAGGATAAGAAAAAAAGGCATATGAAGGGTGACAACTAATTCTGCTACAAATTAGAATTTTATCAAGATTTAGATTTATAATACAAAGTAACATATTATGGAAAATAAAACCATTCATTCCTTATGCAATTTTAACAAGAGTGTTCATTTAAAAACTGTTAAGAGCAGTAACAAAGCTCCCGAGATGCTCAGCAAAGTTTGCATGTCCTTTCATGCAGTGCTCAGCAGACCACAAAAATCAGCTAGAACAGCATGCCATTAACATTTGCATTCCTAAGAAATAGCAATACTAAAGAAAAATTTGTGGACAGTGACCGACATGAATACAATATGAGAACATCTATTTACACTGAATATAGGGATACTTTCATAATAATGTTTTAACAAGATCTGTGAGAAATGCACAGTGTTAATACTTTGTGGTATTTATTCTTTCAAACCACACCATTTACTTGTAATTAGAGTTCTCTTTAAACGCACGTGCTAATTAAACTGACATGCTTTTAAAACTTGTGACAGGATGAAGAATTCTAATGAAAAGTGATGGCATTACAGAAAAGAACCCCCACCATATTTAGGGAAAAATTGTAAAAGTATTATTTCAGATATCATTTCAACTGCAGTTGAAATTGGATGAATTCCATCATGCCCATCAATCTGTTGTCAATTGTCAGAGAATATAGTGATTGACAAATCAAGTTTTGTTCATTAATAACAGCTTATCCCTCCTGTGCCCAGCAACACATCATCTCTGGTAACTCCTGCTGAATTCTAATGACAGAAGCAGCCAGGAGGCAGTTATTTATATTTGTAAAGATTGCAGCAACCAGCAATGGTGGAGCAGAACAACGAACAAGAGTTTTCAGTTCTGTATTTTTGCACGCTATGAAAAGGAGGCAGGAGAGATTCCATCCAAACTGTGGAATTCTCTCTGAGTGTTTCCAAGTCCTAAGTGGTGTATCCACCTCAGCTGTATCCAATCCATCTTTTAGGATGAGTGTGGATATCTCTCAGTTTTTCAATTTGATGGTAGTCTTTTTACCTGAGAAAGTCCAATGGCTTCAATTTGGTGAAACTACAGATCAGCCAATTGACATACCCAATTCTTTATGTCATTGAAAAGATACAGGTATAAAAACTTCCTAGTCCATTTGAAGCATTTTGAATTTCATCCTAAAGAAGAATCTCTTTCAACCTTTCCCCAAATACTACAAGCAAGAATTTAGTCATATTTTTCTTCCATTCCACAATGGAATTCTTACTCTTGTCCTTTTTGCAACTTCACAGTATTTAAACAAATAAATAATACATTTCATAGTAAAGATCTACAACACACTAAACAGCTTTACCATGCTAACGACCTAAGCCTGTAAGAGTCTTTTTCCATTGAAAAATTATAATTAAAAAAGAAATCAATCCCTTATTTTCTTCTTGAACAAAACCACATTATGTTAGATACAAACAACAGGAATAAACACTAGAAAAGACACATATTACTTCATCACAAAGTAGAAGCATGGAGAAGATGTGTCTCAGTCTACATGGATTTAACTAATGATTGTGGGGTTCCCAAATGTGAAATAAAAATGATTAATTTCTTAATATACAAAGATAGGAAGAATACAGGACACACTTAAAGGCTGAACTTTAATGCTTCTGTGTTACTAGCTGATAAAAGAAAAGGAGTTCTTGAAAGGAAACAGTAAGAAGCAAATAAAGAGGCATTGTCACTTGACAGGTTACTTACATGCACAGAGGCCATTGGGAGTAAGACAGCATGAAAAATGTACAGGGGTCATTGAGATATGGCTTGTAATATATTAGTAAAATAAAAAGTATATGCACAAAATAAACTTTACCATGCAATAGTCTAAACACAAGGCAAATAAATTACATTAAGAAATGATAAACATATTTTATAAAAGCTTGGCAATTTTCTACATTATGCATAATATGGAGCATAGTTCTGGTATGTTCTGCTCTTTTCTGAAGCCCTACAATAACTTTTCAGCAAAATAAATGAAAAATGTATCTGGATATCACTGCAGCATATCTCTAGAGCATTTATAAAAATGTCAGTGAATCTAATAATGGAAAAGATATTTCATTTTTTCTGTGGTATTTGGTTTAAAACTGACTTTATACTGATAAAACACATGATCATGAAATTGCCTAATACTCTAATATGAAGCATGGAGGAAAGAACAAGAGGATTACATTTTTCTTGCAAAGAAGAATGTATTTGCTTCTACTTATAAAAAGTAACTGAAATAATCTCCTGTTTACTTCACAAACTACATCTGATTTGCAGAATAATCTCATTTCTACTTCCAGTAATATCCCAATATACCACACCAGCTCTCAAATCATCAGCTGGCCACACAAATCTGAGTTGACTATGAATTATTTTACTGGGTCATTTCTCAGCACCCCAGTTCAGTCTCACCCCTAAGTGAAAAATAACACACCAGTCCGAACAGATCACACACTGCTGATCAATTTATTTTATTTTATACTAGGACATAAGAGAAATAAATTCTAATTTCCTTTAAGAGCAACATTTTGACCATGATTATACTTGTTTTGCATCCAGCAGAAGAAAAGATCTGGTTTTTACTATGAAACAGGAGCACTGGAAGGTTGCAAGGGCCAGTGTTGCCATATTTCTGACCAGCAACCCTGGATGTGACAGCGCACTTCAGAGAATGTGAATTCAGTGCCACCTCAGTTAAACCTGAACTCACATCAGCATTAAAGCAACGCAGAATATTCATATACTGAATATCCTATATTTGGTGTCATTCCCTGGAATATTACTGGCATTACCTTCAGTACCTCAGGGACACTAAGATCAATAACATTTCTACAAGAAATCTGATTTCAAATTGTGCTTACATTAACTTTTTGACTTAGGGGAAAGGGGAAGCTATATTCTGAAGGGAACAGTTTCTTTTATGGTCATTATAATAATTTTTAATGTTGGTATATCTAATTCTTGGCAAACACCTGCTCTGATACAAAGCAAATAAAGATATAACACTGCTGGTGAAGGCAGGTGAACTGTGTGAATCCAAGTGCCATCAACTTACTCTGAAATGTCCCACGATATCAATACTGCAAAATTTACATTCCTTTCAGGAATTTAAATGATAGAAAATCTTTGAGCTAGCTCTGCTCCCACAGTACTGCCAGCTCCTCCTCCTTGCCTGGCTGTCCCTCCTTTAGCTCACTCCCTTGTAGCAGGCCCTGCTTACTCACATGGACATTTTTAGTTCTGTATTTGCACTGAGAGATGCATTAAGAAATGCATCTGCCCTAAAGAAAAAAAATCCATGTTTTTTTGAGTTGTTCTTAATCCAGCTCACAGCATGGCCATAAGGGAAGGGATGAGCAAGGCTGTGGGAATGTGTGCTGGGAGCAATTAATATCAGTATTGTGAAAGGCGTTGGCTCATAAAATCCAGTTTACTCTCAACAGATTTTGTTATAATTATTAAAATGTGGTTGAGTGCTACTGTAAGGGGGAAACATTAGAACAAGCAGGGTGTTACAGCAGCAAAAGGAAGGAACCTACTTAAATCTTGCAGTCTCTGCTTTTGAGAGCTTTCAGGGTAACAAATAGTTTTATATTCACCTGTAAACATCTTAAATGCAACAGTGAATTTAAAGAGTATAAACAACAATTACTGTCTTAGAACTTAGGCTTTCTTAGAATTTACTACCGAATTACTTTTAAGGAAACACATATTTTGTAATAGTGACACATTATGAGCTCTGATACTGCACACATTGTGCAGGTAAAGAGAAATACATGAAAACATGGATTTATAATGTTTAATTACTGTGTTCAAGAATGCAACTGAAAAAATCCCCCAGAAATTAATGTAATATAGAATACTTGCATTACACTGCTTGGACAGGTATCTATTCTGATTCTAATAAAAATCTCTGCAAGTCTCTCAGGAGACCACAACAACATAAGCGTCACAGAATGTGCTATCAAAGCAGGAGCAACAAAAAAGCATTGAAAAGCAGTTTCAGCACATGAAGTATTTTATATTAAAAGAAGAAAAGAAGCAAATTCAGCTCATAAATGATGGGGTCTGTCTTCTTTACTACTAAAACGAATGAATTTTGCTTGATAAGGATCTCTTACTCTACACTTCTACAATTTTCTAAAACAATTCATTTTTTCAGCAGTCTAAAAGAGAAGCCCCAAACTCAGGATTCAGGCAGAAATCAGTGCAAGGAGGATAAACCTCCACAGCTGGTTCTATTTGGTAACTGTAAATAGCACACTGACTATGCAATGGCTCTTATTCCACTTCCAGCTGTAGCACTTCAACAAAAATGCTCTTTCATGGTGTTTTCACATATGTAATCTGTAACTATAAATACATATTAACAAGGATGCCACAGAATAGTCTTTTGTAGAGCACAGTACAGTTATATATGTTGCAAAAATCATATCCTGTTTGTTTCTAATGCTGCTTTAAACATAAACCCCCAAACAATCTAAGCCTCTGTCAGGATATACTATGATGCACTGCTTTTCTGGCAGCTTGCCTCTCACTGACTAATCTCCATGCTTAAATAGCAAAGAACAAGCAGAATAATGTTGGTGTAATTAGAATTTTACTTATATTTTCCTAATTAACTCATTAGGTTTATACAATAGCACCAGCTGAACAATTTATGGCAAGGCTTAAACTGAAAAAAATGTAACCTGTTACAGATACCTGCATTTTTTGTTCATACCTGCATTGTGCTTTGCCAAGTATTTGTCTTTGTACTGCTTTTTTTTCTTTCCAAACCAAGTACAGCTGGCCTGTTGCTCCTGTTTGGTCTTCTCCATGGCAATACAAGCAACTCGCCTGACATAAGGAGGAGAAAAAACATTTTCTGTTGCAATCAAGGATCTTTAAAAAGCTGCACAGAATGAATTAGAAAAGCATGACTTTTTTATAGAAAACAAGTACAGTAAAACTTTTAAAAACATTTTTTTAATGACTTCAAAGAACAGATATACAGGGGTATTTTGATGTAAGAATATTTTCTTAGAGGTAGGTGATGGAAGCTCATAAATGAAGTGAACATGGGAGGAAGGGCAGCTGCTGGAATGAATCCAGACCACTCTGCAGCAGATCAGAATGGAAGAGCACATGGTCTGGAAAGACCACCATGGTCTAAATCACTCCAGAGCAAGTGGTGCTGTGCTGGGGGCCTCTTTGGAAGTTGATCTCTAGGGTGCAGCACTGCAAGGACCCTGCTGCAATGTGCACCTGTGCTCCCTTACATCAGGGCTTGCACAGAGCTCAGGAGGTGGAACTAAAATCTTGTCTGCCTTTGTCTCCTGGCAAAATCTCCCCTACCCAGCCCAGGAGGCACAGGAGCAGTGCACAACTCCAGCTCTTTTACACAGCAAATCCTGTATGAAGTGGTTTGGGCTAGATCTTCCAAGGCCCAGGACTCACTTGCTAGAATTTGTGCTGATACATTTAAAATGTTTTCTGAACAGCTCCTGCAAGAGGCTGTTTAAAGGCTCTTCATTGCTCAGGGCCACTGCTCTTCACTGAACCTGCCATAGTCACTGTGATTTTATTCTGCTTTTTGACATTCATATGAAAAATGATAAGGAAAGAAAACTCTAAAACTCCCTCAATGACCTTGTTGCTTGAAAAGTTCCTAAAACCCTATTCCTGCAGCACTTGCATGTAAACAGTACTAATGAAACCCCTTATTAGAAGCTGAAAGAGAAATTAATTTGACCCTCTTATATAACCAATTTGCATGTAGCCATCTGCAATCCTACGTTCCTACAGTATACCAGAAAACACAATGTTCATTAACACAGGAATTATTTTTTATATAATCACATGTGAAATTGCATGTAACCCTTACTGCTATGCATACATGAGAAAAAAAAAATCAAACCACAAAAATGGAATCAATATACAGACTTAGGAAAAAAAAAAAAAAAATTCGAAGGTTAGATATACAACAATGAAAAGTAGGAAAGACAGAAATAAAATCAAAACTAAGTTAATTTTTTTAGAAAACTTAAGTCATACCATTCCTGAAGTTCAGGAGAAGGAATAAGACCTGCAGTACCATTTTTTGAGTTCTCAAGTTTACCCTGCCACCAGTTATGATCATCTTTGCTAATGATTTGGATAATATCACCAACTCGGAATCTGATGCCAGCTTCTTTGCAAGGAATGAGGTCATCCTTTGCTGGATCATATTCAAATTGTGCTCTTACATAGATCTAGAAAAAAAAGAGTTTATAAGAGACACTGCAGTATCATCACTGTTATTCATGGCATTCAGAGTAACAGGTGAAAATCTGATCTGTGAATGCAGCTACACGTATTGGTTGCAACAAGCAAAGAAAGAAACAAAATAGGAAGGTGCCAAAGCATAAGTGATAGCTGAAAATGAAAATGCCCCCTCCAGCAAATGATGGAGACATATGATGCTATTTCAAAAGCTCATGTTTTCTACATTCTATAGAACCTGAACAGCAAAAATGTAATAAGCTCATGGAGTCCCTCAAAGAGTTATTAACTATCACAAATCATTCCAGAACACAAGCCAGCACCTTACAACTCAATCTATAATGTATTTTCCAACTGAAGTCCCATGGTATGTTTTAAAACTTTCTTTGACAGGAAATTTTACTGGACACTATAAAGGACTTTGGCTTAATTTGTGGTCTTTAGAATGAGAATTTTAAAGATTAAAGACATTAAAAAAAATCTTTTTTACGAAGTTCTGTATTGGTCCTATCACAGAGTTACTCAAGAGGAATGTGGAAATTCTCTGTATGGGTTTTTCAGTAGAAGTCTACTCCTATGTAAATAAAACTCATGATTTGAGCATGTTACTCTCTAAAGAACATGAACAGAAAGAATCCAGACTGACTTCACAATTTAAAATATTATACCAATACTTTCCTTGTGTGCTACTGAGGTCTCAACCCTAGAAAATAAAAATAGAAGTGATACCCAGTTTTGGTTGCTAATTGGAACCCTGATGCACCCAAGAATCTTAAAATCAACATGAAGTGCCATGCCCTAGATGGATAATTTCTACAGTTCATGAATGTCAAACATCACCCTGCAGCATCTCAGCCAGCCTTGTATACATACTGCTGATTTTCTTACTAAAAATGGACTAGATTTAAAAATCCCCAACAATTACACTGCAAACTAATATCCTTCTTAGAAACTGTAACAATCACTTTTCAGCTCTGCTCAAATTCTGCTCCAGTAATAGCTGCAACTATGCAGTGTTAGCACTATTCATGGCACTTAAAAAAGCAATCCAATCTGCACCTCGACATACAAATAAATTAACTTAAAATGGCTAATCACTTTTCTCTTGTATCTGATGTATTTTTATTGGTTTGTAGTGAGAGCATCAGATGATAAGACCACTACAGAACTCAAATTTTAATAGATTAAATCTGACCTTTGTTCTGCTGTGCATTGAGTTTTAAAAAGCAACCCAACTTATTTTAATTACTTGAGAAATAGGATATTTTGAAACCAATTATGTTTACTTAGTAATTTGTTTTTCATGAAGTAATCAATATTGAGCCAATTCCTTATTTTGCCTGAAGCTTATTCACACAGGTCTAAAAACATCAGCAGTATTTTTACTATCTAGAAACTTCCCTACTTTTCAAGTCCCTGCTTCAGTTTGAGCCATTATCCACCATATACTGGCAGCTCATGGAACATTACAGACTTCCTGACACATAAAAATATATCTATTAGTCAAGCCCTTACTGCTTTCAAGGATGACAAGAAAAATATGCTGGTTCAATGGGAAAAAATCAGGTAATTATAAATGGTGTGAGTAAGAGAAACACCATTATTTTGATATTGCCTTGAACAGAGTTTCTTCTTCTGGGGAAAAAACCCCATGAGGACCAAATGAAAACCTAATATAAATGTCTGGAAGGTGTTTCATGGAGCCTCTCCAGGTTTACATTCAGGCAGCTTCAGAAGATAATGGAAAACTGAAAGAATCATAGCTTTAAAAATGGGAAGTGAAGTAAGAGCAAAACCATTCTTGTAACAGAAGTTAAAGCCAACTCAGCCAGGCAGCAGTATAAAAAGATTCTCAAAGACAAGAGTTCATGTTGCTGATTGACTTCTTGAATGGAATTGCAAGAGCTATTATGAAAATTCCTGGCAGAGAAGGAGGCTAAGTACACAGTTAAAAATTCAGAGGTAGATTCTGGAAAGACTATGAATAACTGAAGCAGTAACTGGAGATGAATCACAAATCAGTTGATGGTATGTGCTCACTTGGAGGCTGCAGAAAAAGAACAAAAAAATCTTAAATTTCAAAAAGAAAGATAGGGAATCCTCTGAGAAGCCCCACATGCTTTCTTGGAATTTTCTGGAGAGGGAAGATCTTTGGTTTGTGCTGATTTGCAGAACCACCAGGTCACAGAAACAAAATTAATGGAGGTTATTGAAAATGGGACTAAGGACTGAAATTTTAAGAGACCATCTTCAGATTTATCAAGCCTTAACAGAAACTATCCTTAATGTTTTTCTTTGTAAATATTTTTTAATGTTAATAACTAGTTTTAGATAAACTCAAGCTTTACGATCGTTGTCAGCAAAATATTTTAGAGTTTTAGACACCTGCCCTACTTGTCTCCATTCCAGCTAAAACAGAAATTTGAGTTTTCCTCTAAGATTAAAACCTGAGCAGGTCACTGCACAACAGGAAGTCTATAAATGCATTCTGAACTAAATGAACATCTCCAATTAAATTCTCAGTGAATTTGTAACTCTCACACATGTGGACACATGAAAAAAAAAAAAAAGCTATTTTTGAATTAGATACAAACAAATGAGTTAAAAGAAAAATGAAAAAAATGGAACAAATTTTTCAAGCTTAAATGTTTTAGTCCAGCACATACAGAATATGAGTGGGGAACAGGTAAGCAGGGATGTTTGCTAGCAGCTAAGTTTACAAAAATTCCCATGGAGGATATCTATTCACCTGTCGTCCTTTTGGTTGTGTTGTCGATGGCAAGTCCTGCAGAATAAAGTCAACCCAGGAGAAGAAATTTTCATTTTACTTTTTAAGGGTACATAACACTGTTAGTGATTCATACTACATTACAGTAAAATGGTAAGTTAGACAAAAGTATATAGCATTGACCCATGTTTAGAAATAACTTTTTTCTTAAAGAAAAATCAAACCCAGGCTGTTTAGCAGCAAGCTGAAGAAAGCAGGTAAAAAGTTTAAGCAGATAGAGAATGTGCTTTTTAATAAATAATTCAGCATCTTCAACACAAAAGCACCACCAAGTGAAAGAGGCTCTTTATGTGAATGCCTTTTCCATTTAAGTATAAAGTTTTGCTTTTAAAAGAGAGAGGCTATTATAAATGTTAAAAAACCTATGGTTAAAAATGCATAATGTGATCAGTTGTGCTGAGAATTAGGATTCTAACTACTTTCTTGTTATAAATTTAATTTAATTCACAAAAAATCCTAAATTTTTCATTCACACAATTATTTTTCATTCTACTAATTAATAAGCAGTTTATCTTGTGGCAAATAATGTCTAAGTTGCAATTTTTATCAATAGTTAAAGAAATAGTTGGTTTTGGGGTTTTTTTTTTGTTTGTTTTTAGCTAGTCCCATGAACTCATGTTATTGACAGCACTCACTGAAGAAACTTGTGTGTAGTTACTACATTGGTCCAAACAACAACGAATGATAAACAACACGAATTTTAACACCAATGTATTTTAGGAAGAACAGGAGATCGACAGCACCTTTCTACCTGAATACATACAAAACAGAAGTACTTTGTGTTAAAGATGTGATGGTAATAGCTTGGTTTGTAGTGCAGTTTAAAGCCACTTCCTTTTGCTTTCCATATCCAGGCAAGGCTCATGTTTCACACAGTATGTGCACGTACCATGACAGCAGAGAGCACACCAATTCCTTAACTCAGATAGCGGAAACCAGTACACGTTCCAGAGGGCTCTCAAACACAAAACTTAAAAAAAAAAAAGAATCTATAAAATGTCTTGGGATACCAACTGCACAGTTACTCTCTTCCTTCAAACTCTGCTTCTGAAGTTCAGGATGGAAATAAAAACTTCCACTTTAAACCTATGCTCAGTTTTGAGGAAAGTGCTGACAATGATTTAAGGATGACTGAAGTGTCACAGTACAGTTATTAACATTTAATTCACTGTATGGCTTTTAATGAGAAGAACACGTTGGAAAAAGCCCTTAAAAAAAAAAAAAAAAAGAAAAAAATGGGGAGTTACGTATGCAATAACCTGGGTTCTCTCAGCAGGACAATATTTTCCACTGACCACACGATAAGTATAACAGTAATGGCAGATGAGCACCAACAAAACTTTCACACTTTCTCTGTGTGGAACTGGAAATCTTACCGAAACAGAATTGTTAGTGCTGCTATGACCATTAGCGGGGGACTGTCTGGATGTAGAGGGGGAATCTCTCTGAAATAAGACACAAGGTTCATTAACAACACAACACTATCACAGGAACACAGAAATATTTCAAAGAACAGTTACATCCACAGCCTTATAACCATTTGCTTAGCTGCTTCATTTGTGAAAGCTTCCACACTACAAACTCTATAAAGCTGAAAAGCTTTTCCACAGCTTGGGATCCAGGTTTGACATTTTGATTTATCTGAGGTAATAATTATTTTTATGTTGCCTTCAGCTTTTTAATAACTGGGACTTCAGAGATCTTACGTGGCTGACAATGCTACCAGCCCTCATCATACACCAGTCTTGGTTAAAGCACCTGAAATTATACTCTGAACAGTACTTGGAATAGAATGAGGCCCATATCCTGTTTTAAAGATGTTTTTGAGTATTTTTTCATCTTTGTGGTGGTTGTCAGTCTCTACTGAGCAAGATGAATCTCCCTGCAGTGCCTCACACACACTGAGGCTGGGACCTGAGGAGAAAGCTGGATTCTCCCTCTTCCCTTCTCATTCATTTTACAGCACAAATGAGGGTTTTCCTCCAACATTCTTATGGGCTTCAAAGTATCAAACCTTGCCAAAATACAGCACTTAAAAAAAGCCAATTCCCTTGACCCAGACTACCAGTGTGGCCCTACAGTTCAGTGCAGAGACAGCAGACACAGGGAGCACACTGGGAAATTCTACAGGAAGGAGAACAGGAATTCCGTTGGGTTTTTCAGAGCAATCTTTTTCACATGCCATTTTGACTGCATAATGCTTAATTTTGCCAGGTCAGATAATTGAGCCATCTCTTCTGAAAATAAAATAATCCACTCACACATTGTAAAAAAAAAAAAAAAAAAATCCTTTTAACCCACAGGAATTCTGGAATATAATATTCCATGTCAAAGGTCATCTTAGGAATATCTGGTCATTTTCTATAACATCAAGGACAGCAGAGAAAAAGGGCTAAAACAGCTTTCTGAGCAAAGTTAACCCTGTTATATTTTATCAATACAAGTCCCTTTTGTGAATAATGAAAAACCTGGAGCTAAACTGTTCTTGCAACACTTATCAGGGATTAATGCCACATACATAAGAACAAAACTTGTCTTCCACAAGTATTTGCAATGTGTAACAGACTGGGGGAAATCAGCTCTAACTCGAATTACAAAATCACTCCAGCACAAATTTAAAATATTCAAATGAGAGCAAATAAACCATTCATTAATGAAAAAAATATTTTAAAAATTAAAAAAAACCCAAAACCCTAAAGGAATGAGTATTCTTTTTTTTTCCCCTTTTGTGTATGGATCATCAGCATCACCTTTATCAAATTGTAACCAGAAGAACTTTTTTCAAAAGATCAAGTTCTTCCTTGCTTTATAAAGAGATTTTATGCTTCCTCTGCAATTCTGTCCCTGCTATTTTCTCACTTTCAAGAGGTGAAAAATAAATTTTAACTTTTTTTTTTTAAATATGGTTTGTTATGATCTGTTGTCAGTGATGGTTTAGCAAGGGAGCAAGGGAAAGCTTTGGAAACTGATGCAAGCACCGAAATCATTTGGAAAAAAACAAATTTAGAGAATGCCACTATTTCTGGACTGTCTTGAATGATTCTGCCTTTGAAGGAAATTTTCTTGTTTTGAGAATGTTTTGATTTGTATTCCTCCAACAATTCCCAATACAAGACAGCATATTATTCAAAGCAAATGTTCATCATAACACACTGAGGAAAATATATATTTTCAGTGCTATTGGTGATTTCAGTACTGTCAGAAATAATCTNAAAAAAATATCCTTTTAACCCACAGGAATTCTGGAATATAATATTCCATGTCAAAGGTCATCTTAGGAATATCTGGTCATTTTCATTTTCTATAACATCAAGGACAGCAGAGAAAAAGGGCTAAAACAGCTTTCTGAGCAAAGTTAACCCTGTTATATTTTATCAATACAAGTCCCTTTTGTGAATAATGAAAAACCTGGAGCTAAACTGTTCTTGCAACACTTATCAGGGATTAATGCCACATACATAAGAACAAAACTTGTCTTCCACAAGTATTTGCAATGTGTAACAGACTGGGGGAAATCAGCTCTAACTCGAATTACAAAATCACTCCAGCACAAATTTAAAATATTCAAATGAGAGCAAATAAACCATTCATTAATGAAAAAAATATTTTAAAAATTAAAAAAAACCCAAAACCCTAAAGGAATGAGTATTCTTTTTTTTTCCCCTTTTGTGTATGGATCATCAGCATCACCTTTATCAAATTGTAACCAGAAGAACTTTTTTCAAAAGATCAAGTTCTTCCTTGCTTTATAAAGAGATTTTATGCTTCCTCTGCAATTCTGTCCCTGCTATTTTCTCACTTTCAAGAGGTGAAAAATAAATTTTAACTTTTTTTTTTTAAATATGGTTTGTTATGATCTGTTGTCAGTGATGGTTTAGCAAGGGAGCAAGGGAAAGCTTTGGAAACTGATGCAAGCACCGAAATCATTTGGAAAAAAACAAATTTAGAGAATGCCACTATTTCTGGACTGTCTTGAATGATTCTGCCTTTGAAGGAAATTTTCTTGTTTTGAGAATGTTTTGATTTGTATTCCTCCAACAATTCCCAATACAAGACAGCATATTATTCAAAGCAAATGTTCATCATAACACACTGAGGAAAATATATATTTTCAGTGCTATTGGTGATTTCAGTACTGTCAGAAATAATCTCACAAGTTAGGCAAGAGACATTTTTTTATGTATGACTTTTACATAATTAGGCTGTTCTGTCAGAATTTCAAAGGCATTTAGATTCTTAATTTTCTAGGGACAAGTCTTTCAAAAAATACCAGACTCAAAAGTTAGGAGGAAAAAAACTGTATTATGAACAATCTAATGAGACAAATCAATGAGCACAGAAATCCTTGCAGAATAACAGGGCTGCTTAGGACTGGCCTGGAAAAATTCAGTTTTGGTTATGAGTTTGTTTTTCCAGTAAATCAGTACAAGCCCTCCTTTTCCTGGGAATAGGGGCAGAAAAACACTTGGAGGATCCAATGATTCTGAGTAATGTAGAAAGGTTATTATAACCATATTTTAGTAAACTTGACTGTCTGGACTTCCCATCCTTCTCCAGACCCAAGACAAAAAAACCAGAAACCTTTGGGGTCATCACTCTTCAGCTGAAGAACCATGGAGCCTCAGAGGAAACAATCACAATTATTTCCAAATGATGGCAAACCCAGCTTCCTGTTGATTCCCTATTTTTAGGTGTGATCTATGAATGCTAAACTAATATATTTGAGATGCAAACCTATTCAGAAGAACTAAATTATATCTAATAAATATGAACTAATCAGATTAGATACTGACAAAAACGGGTGGATCGACATTGTTGCCAGATATAAGAAACTCAAACAAGAAAACCAACAAAACCAAAACCTCCAACTAAACCAGACAGACTTTTCCAAAATTCTGACAATACTTTAATATTTCTGTCTTGCTCAAGGAACATGTCTGTCGGTATTTTTAATACAAATTTAAAAACAATTTAAGACAATAAAAGCTCCTGATGTTTAAGCACTAATGGAAACTATGGAAGATAAAGGAAAAAATCCATGGTGATTACCACCAGGCTTCTAAAATCTCATATACATAAAGGCTTTTCTTCTTAATGAAAAAACTTAAAAGAGTTTCACAAAGGCAATATGAAACATAAAGAATGTTTATAAGGATTTTTTTTTTTGTTTAAAGAAAAAAGAAGAGGAAAAAAAAGTACTTCTCTTACCATTCTCACGTATCTGACACTATAAAAAGTTACTTTGGGTGTTGTGTCAGTACAAAGAAAAGAATGTAAATGTAGCCAGAGCAAAATGCTTGCTCACTGGGATAAAACTGAAACACACAGATGGTGTCCACAGCCATCAGCCATAAGAAGGATGTGTTGCAATAGTTACTTAAGTTCATGTTTATGTAAATCTGCAATTTTTCTGGTATCTGATGAAGAGAACAACACCCTGGCCCCCTGTTATCTAAATACGTGTGTTAACTCAGGTCATTTGCCATGCCAGTGACTAAACAGGTTACCTCACACCAGATCAGCTGATCCAATTTTTACACGAGGGAATTCAAAAGTATTATGTCTTCAAGCAAGGTCTGCTCCATGAAATAGAAGGTCTGGTAACTGAATGGAAGGCATGGGTGCAGGAAAAGCTACAAATGCCTAAAAAACCTGAAATTATTCAGCTGAGATTTTGCAAACTTCCTAGTGACCCTAAATTACATAGTGTAGGAAGAAGACTTCCCTATGTATATGCAGAAATGGCTCAATATTTAGAAAATAGCACTTATATTAAATTACTATAATAGAGGACAAATATGGCAAGTGAAATTCGCATCCCAGTTATTAAAAAAGAAACATTCTGTGCCCCCTCACCTTTGTGAAGGCCCAAGGTAGTAAATAAAAGGCACATCATCTCTGATTCTACTAATATGCATTTTTTTCTTATTCAAGATTAACAAGATGTTTTGCAATCCAATTATGTGATCTTGGTAGGAGCCTCAAAGCCTCCAGTCCTCAATTCTGTTTTATATTCCTCTTCTCAAAAAACTACAGTACATGAGCACCAGCCCATGACTGAAGGAGGGGGGAAACCAAACAAGGACTGATATGTTGCCAAAAAATAATTTAACTAGGAAGATTATACTAGTGAAGACCCAATATCTCTCTATTTATCCTGCTGGAGGGCACGAGAAGCAAAAGTTCTCTGTTAGTAATATCAGTCAACATTGATTTTTAGCCTTTTATCAATGGTTAAGGATTTAATTAATTTTCTGAATCACCTTCCTGAAAAATTCTGTGAAAAAAATTCTCTGTGTACCAAAGGATTAGTGATGCTTTAAAAGGATGATTTAAGAACACTGGGGCTTTTGTGTACACCTGTAACTGATGAAAATCAAGCCAAAGCCTTAATGTGGCCGAGCAGGTGAAAAGGACTCATCCATCTCTGACTTAATGAATGCTAAATGCTACAAAATGGGATAATTAGACAGGGTTTCTTTTTCTCTTTGATCACACATTTCTAGTTTAGCCACTTTTTTCCAAAGGCATGCAGGAGTCTATTTTCCATTCTTCTGTGAAATAGTCATGAAAAGCCTAAGGACAGAAAGCTAAAGAAAAGAGATTACCTGCTAGTACTAAAATGACAACTAAAACTATTAATTTAAAGCTGTATGCTGAGTTTTTCCAAATAGTAATCTTCCCAGCAAGTCAGCAGTTTCACCAGTTTCTATATTTCAATACTGGGAAGTGAGGTATCTTTTATTATTACTCCTCTTTGCAGCACAGAAGTCAATACATTAATTTGTCAGCATCCTGCAATTTTTTTAACAGCCTTTGCCTTTCAAGAAAAAATTTTGGTTTCATATTTATTTTAAGGAAATTTGCCTCATGGATGAAAATCTGTCAAACCTTCTACCTCTAAAACATTTTAGTTTTTGTTGAATTCTACTAGAGGTGCCAAAGGCAACCAAAAAGCAGTAATTTTTCCCCTTGCAAAACAGATTGCTCTGACAACCACAATAGCAGTTTGTGTATTCTAGCATCTGCTGAGCCATAGGAACAATTAGGGTGAAATCACAGATCTAATTAAGATAAGGTGCTTGACTTCAGCAGGGGCTGTGATTTCACTGGGGAGCTCTAATTCGGGAGCTGCTTGCGCAGTTCAGCGTGGCTCGGAGAGATTGGCACCATCCACACGCTGCAAATGCCACCTGTGTGCTCACACTGGACAGGGGCTCTCAGGTAGCCATTCCAGACAATTTAATTCCCTTCAGTTGCAATCTGGAATGTAACTTTGTGAGCAGAAGGGAATTAAACGCTGCTGTGCAAAAGCTGTAATACCAAGTTTCTAGTTCAGCAACAGCTCAGAATCTGTTTTTCTTCTGTAGTGACAATGACCATTTTTTCATGGAAACATAATATTAAGCCACATGTAACTGTTACACACGACCATCACAAATTTACCTCAACAGGGTTATACAGAAACGGGTTTTTCAATTAACCCTTAACAGCCCAAAGCAGCAATATAATGTTTAAAGCCTAAAAAAGAGGAGGATCGCTCCTCAGCTTAGGAACTTTAATAGGCTTACTGAAGTATGAGCTTTAATGGTCATATTTAAAGGGGCTTCTTAAATGCATAAGTTGAGGATCCCCTTTCTTATTTTTTTTCTCCTTTAATAGGCTGTAAAGAGTTAGTTAAGGTGCTGATGAGATGAATATGAAGGCAGGGCTGAGTAGGTAGGTGAGACCTACTCATGTTCCGTTATCTTTGTTGTAAAATTGGTGTGCGATCTAACAGGACAGGCAGAAACAATTTCCCAGAAAGCAGGAACATTCAGCCATCAGCAGGCAGTTAGTTACAGGACTGAGGAAGAAAGGGGATGGCTCATTAAATTCATTACCTCACAGGATGAAGATTGCGTGCGATAACTTGGCACAATCTTGAAGGTAATACTTCCACGCATTTCCCTCTGTGAAAAAAGAAGCATTTTGAGACTAACACTGAACAGAAAATCTCCAAATTGTTAATGCGAGAAAGGGGAACATCATAGTTCAAGTATGAAAAGCTCAAATGCTATGTTGTCATATACCTATGAACAAACATTCAAATTGTCCTCATTAATCTCAAGGATGAACATGCGTTACCAGTTTGTTCACCTGAGCAGGTTTTGAATGCCTAAAATCCAGAATTGTATTTTTATGTGAGAGATTCAGAAATGCATAGGTTTCTTCCATGTCAACCTTTTCTTTGTAGCTATATTCTTGTCATCTACAGTCTTTTCTGCCAAAGTGGCATTTTCTTCCCTTTCATCATACATATTAAATAGCAACACTGTATTCAGTTTCTGAAAAAGCTGCATTTTACTGTCCTGAAGGTAGGAATTTCAAAAACAATCTTTCATCAAAACAGAACATGGGGTCTGCCGCTTTGCATTTACTATTGTTATAAATATTCTTATACAAGTAGTAACTCCAGAATAGCAGCAGAATGTGACAACATATTTTCTTAAAAGGCAATCTGAATACTTATGAATTCCACATAGCTGATAACTGCAGGACTCGATCTAGGCAGAAATGTGAGCAGATCACTTCAAGAGATCTCAGAGTTTCTCCCCTTTCTCTCTTTGGCTGGCTTACTGTGACCCCAAAATAATTCTATTTCCCTTGAAGCTTGTCTAGGATTAGTGATACCATCCAAGATGTCAAGGTTAGTGCTGCACACAGGAAACTTAACAAGTGTTATGGAAATATCAAACAAAATCTACTAGCAAGGTCAAAGGTGGAGTTTTCCTGGAAAAAGACAAAGTAATGTTTTTTAGATTTGTAACTTCAGTAACTGTGAGTACAACTGTTATAAACTGAAAGAACTTTTTGTTGCATGGACATGTAATCTATCAAGAACACAAGAAAAAGGGGAAATTAGAACACAATTACACAAAAATTTTGATTAAATAAGACAAGCACTTTTATAGAGGATATGAAGAAGACTTCAGGCACTTACAAGCATTTTTTGTAGCTGTTCTACAGTTTGATTTGCCACACTGATTCCGTTTATTTCTCTGATTTCATCCCCTACATGTAGCGTACCTGCAGAGTTAACAAACACACAATCACCTCAGGACACGGTTTACAAATTGAAATAATTATAACACAGCACTAGTGTTCATACAAAGGCATAAACAAAAAACAACATTAAAATATTTTTTTGCTAGATTCAGAAAAGGACTTTGTATGAGTTACAAATCTGTCTTTCAGAGTGCAGTGAATACATAACAAGAGATGTCCAGGCATCTTCTCAGGAAACGGGAAAACATGTTTTTATTACTAAACAATAATATTGAATCAAAACCACCATACGGCCTGGAATAGTATAAAAATTCTGTGATACTATTCAAAACATAAAAGTAATGGAATTACATATTAGACTGAGAATCAGATTCAGTAACATCCCTGTATCAAATAAAATCCCCTTTTTTGCACCATTTCCCATTTCTGTCACTCTGACAGAAGTGAATATTGTTATGTTCATGACTGTAAGGAGAAGTATACATAAAAACTGGGAATAAAGAATGGACATTTGGCAGACATGTCAACAACAAACAGACCATTTTTAATGATACTGGTGTTTCATTTTTACTGAATTTTCTGGAAGGTGTGAGTAGATGGAATCTTTAAAAGCCTTTCTTCCCATTTAAACTCTGCCACCTTTGTAATAAGAACAATTTCAATCACCAGGACTAGACAGGCCTAGAGACAGGAGACAGCTTCACAGCAGCTACAATCTTGTGACTGGGAACTGCAGAGTTTGTGTTTAATATTGTTGGACCTGAAATTATACAGCTCCTGTAACCCTCACAGCAGATTTATTATCCAGACACTGCTGATATTGCCTGCCAGTTTTCCATAGTGCAAAAAGAGACAGCAGAGAAAAATGACCTAACACTCCCCAAAACCAATTCAAGGCACAGGCCCTATAAACAGGATTCAAAGATGGGGCTTGAGATCATTGCCAAATGACACTTGTGTTCTATTCAGTAAAAATATTCTAAATACAGGTATGCTGAATGAAGCAGTGGAGCTAAGAAGTATCTAAAGCACTAAGAAAATTAGAAGCATTAAAAAAATATATGACAATACTACAGAGCCACTAAAGTTCATTTTCAAGTGCAGAAGCACTACCTTAGCTAAACAAAGCACACAGAGAATAAGTTAAATTTCTCAGATCTTTAGAAATAAAAGATATTGTGTAATTAAAAAGAAGAATTGTAATGGGCACAGCTGGATATTTTACCCAGTTTTAGCAAGGTTTTAAAAGTTTTATTAGCCCCATTATGGAGCACAGTCATATGAAGCAATACTGTGCAGAGCATCACCACTATATAAGCACAGCTGGAAGAAAACCTTGCTCCTGTGAATCTTAGAGCAATCTCCCTTAAAAACACTTTTAGAAGCCAAATAAATTCCAGTTCAGAAGGTCCTCCAAAGACATAGAATTCTCTCTGAATTCCATCTTTGCTTGTATAAAACTTTCGTCTTTCCTGCTTCCTGACAGATTTTACCATATCAGTCAGACAAAGTGAATATATGTTTTGTCTTCTCAATTGCCTGTTCCTAGCTTCCTTTGAAATAGAACACAAGGCTAGAGAGAACTCTGGTCTGAAAAATTAAGAAAATTTTTGTTTTCATCACAAGAAAAAGACAACAGTCTGAAAAAAATGAAAGTAACCAATTCACGGCTACAATCCAAACTGGCAGCCAACAACCGAGTAGGGAAGTTAATTTGTTTAAAGCAGGACAAAATCCAGTTACTTCTGAGCATCTGATCTGAGCACAAAATGACAAAAAGAAGAAGACTGGGGATGAGAAAAAAAAGCACGTTTGCAAGATTTGTTTTGTTAGTGAAAACTGAAAATAAAGATTTAGAATCTAGGCACAAATAATATTTTTATTTCAAACCCCATTTTTGTGATTCTCAACACCAAAAATATAAAGGTCCTCAAGAACTGTATGGACAAAGCTCTTTCATTTTTGCAAGGGAAAGTACCACTACTTGTGTAAGGATTTTTTTTTAAACAGAGGATTAAATAAGTACAGCTCAGAAATTATTGGTGCTTCCATCTCTTGATGAGCTATACTCACTAGTAAGACAGTAATTATCCTAATTAAGACCTAAATGAAACACAGTGGGCCATCACCTCAAAACTGGCAGAGATCTGCAGCTGGAAGGTAACTAAAGCAGTTAGCAGGAGTCCATGCAGGCACAGAGATACACTGCTATGGAATAGTAGCAATCACAATCAGGAGAATGTACACAATTTGTAGAAAAGGATCTAAAATAACCATGTTTTAAGACAAAACTCTTCATGAGATGCGATTACCTTGCCGGTGAATCATTCCTCCGTGCATAATTCTTGCCACAATGCAGTGGTTCAGCTCATTCATTTTTAAAGTGATTCCCTAGAAAAAAAAAAAAAAGTTTATGCTTTTAAAATAAAATATTAAGCACTGTGATTCTTAAGTGGTTAAGAATAGTCATATTTCTTGAAAACTTGAAGGTAGGGCATAAGTTTCAAGATTAAAATAAAATCTTTGTCACTCCAAGATGAGCAGTAAAACCAGATACTATTTATGAGTGAGGATGCAATACTTCAACATATGAGTATTCAAGGATCTGGTTTGTTAAAAATGTGATTTTATACCGAAGTGCAATGGCTCCAGTTGGGTTTAAGGACTAATTTGCTCTAACTACTACAAGGTTGCTTCTAAACAAAGCCCTAGGGGCACATCAGCTGTGTGAGTGCACACAAAGCATTTCAGGGAGGACAAATATCTATAGCAGCTGCTGAACTACTCCAGTTAATTGACTCAAAGTGAGGAAAATGACACTAAAATCATTACAACACTGGTCTTTACCAGCACAGAGGGAAATAGTGAGCTTCCCTCCATACCATGGGCTCATCTGTGTTCTTCTGGAACTGCACCAGCCGGACCCGCGTTACGTTCTCCATGTCCATGTCGCCGTTGGCGCTCTCCGGGGAATCCCCGTTCAGGTAGGGAGAGGTGGGAGGAGGGGTGACCCTCAGCGCTTCGTCACTGTAAACTTCATGTGCCACTACATCATGAGTTTGAAGTAAGGCCTGGAGGACAGCACAGCAACAAAATGTCACATTTCCATCATCTCTGATGTCCCTTGCTTGTTCCTTATAAGGGTTTTTTTGAAGCTTTTCAAGGAAATCCAAGATATTTGTGCCCCATCTCCCACTGAAGAACTTTTCCCTTAAAGGAGTCTAAGATAAACTTTCAGACTGCAAACACCTACACACTGAGACTCTAAAACCTGCTTGAGTTGATGTGGTATTTACTGCAGGCACTTCAATGAGAATGATGCTGCCTCCCTTCCTCTCAACACCTGCAGGGTGTCAGAGTGAATCCATCTTCATGTACATAGACAGAGAATCAGGAATCTACCTTTCTGTGCAAACTATTCTGTAATAATTACTCTAGTAAAATGGAAAGCTACTCAGATTCCATGGTATCTCACTTTAATAAAGGCAGATGGTGGATCAATACCAGCTCGAAGGAGAAAATACTGTTTTTTTGTTGTTTACTATTGTAATTGCTTTTGTACTCTCCCCTTCCCCTAGAACTTGGTCCCAGCACCACCAGCCTGAGTTCAAAATGTTTGACAAACATTTAGAGTGCAAACCAGCAAATTGCTAAAATACTGCTTCATTAGCTTTCATTAGATCCTTCAGTAGCACTTCTAAATTGTACTGTGTTATAAAAGATAATTTCTTAAACACTTTCTGTTCTCATTTCTCTAATCAATTTGAAACTCTATTTGGGAAGTCAGCCCTTTAATGATGGAACGAGTTTCCCTAAACTAACAATGCTTTGCCCACATTCCTTCCCATTGTCCCAGTGTTGCAAGCCCACTTACATATATACTATTTTTAGTTAAATACTAACGTGTATCTATCTGCATTTCCTGTTTCTCATCTTATTTTGTCAACCCCTAAGCTCAAACTTGCAACAATTCCTCTGCATTAGTCTGCTCTACTGAAGCAACATTTTATATTAGAGATCTGGACCATATAAGTAAGTTAAACCACTTAAAATATTTAATTAAAATTTGATTTATTTGTGTGTCCATTTATGTGTGGGTACTCCAATGTAGGTTAATGGTTGGACCTATGAAGGTGCTTCAGTGCCCCTGCCTGTATCTGTTACACTTTCCATATGTCAATATTACATTTCTTATGTAATCCAGGTCCTTAAATTTTTATCACATCAAATATTTTCACTGATTTATATTATTTTTAGCCATAATATTCACCTTGTAGGTGGTTAAAATATGGCACTTCCAGCATTTTTAAAGATCTGTAATTATACTAAATGACTTCTGAATATGTTCACAAAAATGAACACTATTTCAGAAATACATTAAAGTACAGCAAGCTCAATTTAATATTGAAAACATTTATTAAAAATATTCCTATTGGACCTTATTGCTAATTTTCATAATGTGTTTTTTTCCTGTTTTTCCTTTGCAGAACATGATAATCCTGTTAAAAATTAGTTTAATGGGAACAACTGCTTTCTACTGTACTGCAGGATCACTGCAGAGAACAGCACAGGAAGGCATATGATGATACATGAAACTTCAATATGTCATTAAGCAAAAGGCTCCTAGCAAATATTTCAATTGTTACAACATACTAAACTTATATAATAGAATCTTTAACACATGAAACTGACATATTTGAAAAACTACTGAAAGTCATGTACTGGAATAAAAGCTCTTTGAAATGTGTACATACATAACAAATGAGATACTTGACAATGCTTTTAGAATTCTTAAATTAATTATCTACTGAAAGACCTTCATGCGATATTTACATACATTTATTTAAATTAAAACGTTAAACATACACAGAATAAATTGATAATTTATTTCTGTAGCCATAAGGCACAGAAATTAGAGGGCAAAAGAAAATTAGAACAACAGAACATGTTGAAAATCTGCTACAAACACACTTTATTTGCTTTGGTTCTGTGGCTTGAACACAGCTTAACCCACTAACACTGTGGTTAAGTAAGCAAGACAGATTATACTCTTTTTTCTTCTAATTAGCGATACACATTAGATTAAAAAAAAACACTAAAATAGTCCATTATCATATAGGTGCTAATGCACACTCCTACTTATTACACCATATTGATTACTGAATTAATGTGCATTAATAACCAGAATATTGCTCTGTACAACACCTGGCAAACACACAGAGTGTGGGTTAACAATATTGGTTTATACAATTATTCCGTTTCCTAATCATTTCCTTTAAAATATAAAGACTTTTGCTCTGAAGGGAAGTTTAAGAGAATGCAACAAATATAAGATTAAGTTTATTTAAGTCTGCAACCCATAAAGGTGCACCTGGGAGCAGGAGTGGGAACGATGGAGAGGATGGAGTTGTCCCATTGGCATCTGGAGACTGTGGATCCACACCAAGTTATGCAGGTTTAATTGCTGCTTTACATTCCTCCCTAACACAAACTGTTTCTGTTCCCCTGCTCATTCTGGCTCTGGCAGCATCTCTGTTACCCTAAATTCTTCTTGTTAAATGGTTGGTTGGGGATTTTTTTTTTTTTTTGGAGCAATTTTCTACTAGTTCAGCCGAGGGCATCATTAAAGTGCAGTTCTAGATGAATGCCAGAACTACAAGGGAGAGGATGAAAGATGGGGAAAAGGGATAATGGGACTTCAGCAACTGGCAATTTAGCCTGGGATATCACAGATTCACTTGCTGAAATTACTCCTCATCAAAAGTACTTGTTATGGAATTGCAGCTTATTCCTTATGAAATAACACTTTTCATAGATTTGCAGCAAAAGAATTCTGACAAATGGTTTTAGATTTATGAGTGTATTGGGGAACAGAGATACCTAAAAAAGAGGATTTTCTACTCAATTTTCCTGTAACTTGATTTGATACGTGAAATTCTATATACCACAATCACTTTTATTGATGCCTACTCTGAAAATAATTTATACTTTAAAAATGCTCTTTCTCAACAGTACTTCATGTTTTAGCAATACTGTGGGGTAATTACAAACACAAAAAAGTAAATAAAATGAACCTGTCAGATTCCAAATGAAGCTAAGTAGATAAAGTCAAATTTTTGATTTTAAGCTGACAATAGTGTATAGCAAATTTAAGCAAACGTTTATTTCTCAATTTATGAACTTCACCTACAGCATAACAAAATAAATCCTTCAAATTAGTAGACTTCAGCAACTTGAATCAAGTTACAAAGCAGTAACATCCCTGAATTTAGGACAATTATTGCCTTCAAATCAGATTTGGGAAACAGACACAGTAAGTGTTGATATGCAACACAAACTCAACAGACTGTACAAACTACTGATTTGTGTAAAGCAATATTAAATAAACACTTATTTTGCAATGAATTCACACACACCTTTATCCTAAGAAGACCTTTGGAAAAAGAAAAAGGAGGACCCCAGCTCTATGGACATCCAAAAGGATTAATTCTTTCCATGTGCAACATAGACCTCCAAAAACACAGTGAAACTGCTTCATAATTACACTACTCCAAACTGCTGACAGTTTTCAGCACAGTAATGAGGACCAGTACTAATTCTTTTGCCAGAGCAGCAGGTTAGAAATACTTATTAACAGGTGTATTGGATGCAGTTCCATCCTTTGCAGATTTTAAGAATTTACTGAAGTTTTCTAACATAAAGAAAAAATGTAAAAAAAAAAAAAAAAAAAAAAAAAAAAAAAAAAAAAAAAAGGAAAGGAAAAAAAAACCCAAACAAGAATAGGATCTGCTTACCATGAAATGAGGTTGTGTTAAAATACGCTTTAGCTCCTTTGCATCATTGTTCTCTGGGTAACATGAAATTTCTTCCAATACCTGCAAAATAAGCAGGAGAAATGTCCCATAGTAACTTTCTTTTAAAGCTATTGAAGAAACTAGACCCCTGACTGCTAAGTCAGAATATCCCCAAATGATTGTACACACCTCCTGACACAGGAAAGGTTTTAAGAGAATCTGCCCCAACCCAGCTGCCCCAAGAGAATAAAATACCTTGTTCCAATGTTCTCTCTGAAAGAGATGAAAGCAGAAATTTGAAGGAATTTTTGTTTTTTTCAATTGACAGCATTTCCCCAACAGCTAAATACATGGGGACAGGAATGGAAGGTGACATGCAAGACTTCCACCAGTTGCTGCTTTCACACATGGTCTCAATTTATTAAAACAATTGGTATAAAAGTATAATTAAAACCACTTATAAAATCTATTTTTAAAGACACCAAATCTAGCTGGGCCATCTGCTACTCCACCTTCAAGCTCCAGATTTTACAAAATCTGAGCCACTTTATCATTGGGGAAGGAGGAGCAAAGAAGCTTTAACTCATTTGCCTGCAACCTGATTCTTACACCTTAATTTTCACATGCAGCTAGCTGGACAAGGAAAGCAGAGCATTTTGCTTCTGGAAGCAACCCCCAGGATTAACTGACAGCAAATTTTGCAGAATAGGACCTGAAGGCATCTATTACTGTGACTTTAGCTATTACATAGAGTTTTAAAGTCTTCCTCCTTTAATAGCACAATAAGCAATTTTCCTATGACGTAACTCCTAAAAACTGCACAAATTTGTACTGATAATACATAATACAATATGGGTTTGGGTTTTTTACTACTTGCCATAAATAAGCAAATAGCATACTATTTGCAAGGTACAAGAATTAAGAACATCTGTGTCTATTTTTGGTCTTAGTGGGCCACCTTCATTGCATTTCCAAGTCTGCTCTTCTTAGACCAATTTATGATAAACTTGGTTTTTTTTTTCAATTTAAAAAGCTGACATTTAAAAATATTTATTTTGGTGACTAAATTTTATAAACATCAGATTTCTGGTGCAGATAAATAGCCTGAACAGGAAAGATACTGCAATTACCCAGCAGGAGTGCTCCTTTTAACACCACTATTGTTGAAGAAAAGGTTAAATTATTAAACTGAGTAATATTCATATTTCTTACACAGATAATGAAATTCTTCAAGTTTATGCAACTTGTTACATAACTTGGGTAAGTAATGGTAATATTCCAGAAATAATTCAGATAATGAGCCAGAATACACAACTTAATAAAATAAAGTAAGTTACAGTTTAAGTACAATCAACTTTTCAAAGCAAAAAACGCATACTTTAAAGCCATTACCTCTTTGGCTCTCTGTACAGCATCACTTGGAGGATTCCTGATTTGTGGTGAAGATTTTGTGTTTATTTTGTCATAAAGCTGAAATAACAAGAAAACAAACTACTGAAATCATATGCTACTTTATATAAATTAATGAGTGTTTACAGTAGCCTTCTTATGTTACCAGGGTTAGGATGATTGCTAAACTGCAGAACCCACAGATGTTCTGTATACAAAATTTAGCAGCCCAGGGTTTTGGCTTTTCATTTTTAAACATTTCCTGATTTGAACAGTGCCATAGATTTAGAGTTCATAGGATGACATGGGAAAGTTCAAGAGGTTAAGGTCTTCTGCAAACCTCTCATGCTTTTGGCACAGATTTACAGAAACTATATTCTTCTACTAGAAGTGAGCCCATGAATCTTGAATAAATGCTACAAACGAAACATTCTGGCATAAAATCAAGTTAACCTGCATATCTCCCTTTTCTCAATAAATCAAGCCATCAAACATCTGAACAGTAATTTAAATAATTCTTGGAAGATGGGAAAATGCTCTTGAAGATAGAACATTACAAAAGCCAAATACTCTGAGAACAGAAAACAAACCTTCCAAGAATGAGTACTCACAAAAAAGGGTAACTTTATTTTACTAGGATTTTCTGTAATACAGAAGCATGTAATTGTATTTAAACTGGTATTAATTATTATTTTTAGAAATCCTTTTAAAAACCATTCAACTATGCAAAGCACAACAGAAGAAAGATCCTTCTTCAAGTTTCAAATTAGAGATAAGACATTACAGGCTCTTTTTCATACAAACTTAACAGACTGTCCCTGCTTTAAAGGAAAAAATGTATACTTAAGAATAAACAGGTACTGTAATGAGCAGGATTTTCAAATAAAACCTTTTGGCTTACATTTCAAGTGATATAAAGATGGCCATGCCTTTAATTACTTTTAAATTATGTTAGATTATTTCTTTGATATATAAGACAGAAAAAAAAGCACAAATTACATTTTCAGAAAATTAGAGAAATTTTGATCACAACAAGGGCGGTGAAACACTGCTACAAGTTGCCCAGGGAAGTTGGGGAATCTCTCGACTTTGGAAACACTCAAAATTTAACTGAAATTCAAAATATTGGAAAAGCATTCAAAATACAAGAGTGACTCTAAAACCTTCAGCAAATCCTCACACTGCCAAGGATGAGGAGACAAGAAAGCACCATTTGGGCTGCTCAGCAAGGATTGCTCAGGAGCTTCCTCTGGAAGCTCACAGCTCCACTGGCTTAGAATGGCCTTGGATGTTTGAAAAAGGGAATCCTGCCAGGACACAGAACTGCCCTCTTCTCTTTCTCACACAACATGAAATACCACTCAGTTTTAGATAAATAAACTGCCATAAATGCAATCCAACATCACTTTCCTGGGTTAACAATTTAACAAGCATGTTCAACATTTCAAATCCATACATAAATAAGCACAAAACCAGCAAACAGTGTCACTTCTAAAAAACATTCCCTGCAGGACAGTTACACCACTCTCTTGGGGAAAGAAAAGCAGAAAAGTCAAGCTAAATCAGTTTCTTCCAATGCAACAACTTCAGCTTCTGCTGCCAAAACCACTAAACTCCACAGTTTAAGCAGCCTTGAAAGCTTTGAGATAAAAACTTTCTGCTAGCTTGTAGTTCAGGAGATATTTTATTTGTGCACACAATTATTTGTTTAACCTTTTCTTAAATAAATTAACAAAATCTACCCAAACTCCAGCAACTGCAAATTACAATGTACCACCATTCTATGCCTGTTAAGAAACTGCACTGACCACTGTACTGACCAAAGCACAGCAGAAAATGCATGATACCCACCATGAGTATTACTGAATGTCTTTTTCCTTCTTAAGAGTAATGAAATTACAGAAAAGTTACATTGAAAATATTTTTATTAGTTATTTCTAGCAATGGTTGAAAAGCTATGTTGCTGAAGTTGCAGATTTCCATCGTTACTGTGACCCAAAACAACCAGCAGTTTACAGAAACATTTTCCCCACTAACATGGGAGAATTATCTTCTGAGATTATGAAGGAGGCAAAAAGAAAATTAGGGAGCAAAGTTCCTCAAATAATGTTTAGGAAAAAAATCAAGGCAAAGTTCAGACTAAACAAGAGTGCATTTATTTTTCCACAATGCCTTCACGCTGAGGCATGGCACTTAAATTTCATCTTCTAGGATTTCTGTTTATTGAGGTTTGCTTTGAAGGAACCAAACTATTAGAAGGAATTCTGACAGCACTTAAAAGAAAAACTTTCATATTTGCATTAAGGTTTAAGGATAATATATTACCCAAGACAAGGGATCTAATCATCGTGAAGCTAGAATAGGGCCTCACCCAGAGAATGGGTTTGGATTTGGTAGATTTACTAGCACGAGAGATTCACTCTCCAATTTTGAAATCTCTTCATTTTGAAGTTAGGTCATGGAGTTTTTTTACAAGAGGCAAGAAGAGCAAAGCTTATAATGGACATTAATGCACGAGAACTGGTGAAGCAGTCCCACCTCCTTTGCAATCTTTGAAAAAAGACTGGTTTTTCAACACTTTTCAATATTTTTGCACTGAAATACTAGCTGTAGCAAAAGCAATTTAGAATTAAGGAATTGATAGCTTGCATAATTAATTTGTGAAAGCATTTGAATGTAGAGGTTTCATTCAGACATTAAAAAAACATTTGCTCCCTTGGATGTAAGAATCTAGTACACCTTTACATGACTGTTTTATAAAGCGTATAAGAAAATTTTGAACAAAACCTGTTTGCACACATCACAGATTAAAGTGAACGTTAATTATACTTGCAGCCAGGCTCTGTATGCTCCCTGTGGTAGAGAACACATTACTTTGTGCAGTTTGCTGCAACATTTTAATCAGAGAAACCCATCCTGTTCACAGGGCTCCTTTCAGCAGCCCTGCAAATCTAAGTCCTGCAGGGATCATACCAAAGGTGGTTTCTTGTGGAGCAGAATGAACTGGCTCATTCTTCACTGTCCTCTGCTGAAGGCTTTTCTATGCAATATCAATTGACTCACAGCAGGGCAAAATGTATGCCCTAATCATGGCTTTCTTTCTGCTGGGAGTCTTTATTTCCCAGCAAATAACTCTGCCCACTCAGCCCAGGAACCCAACCTCCAACAACTGCACTCAGCAATAAGCATAAACATATCAATTTAAAGTTTATAATAATTGAAAAAAGTAAAATGCCACAGCATATGTAACTTTCAGCATTTCCAGACTTTTAAATACTTTGTATATCAGTCTCACTCCTCAGCATCAGTTATTCTGCATTTCCTAGAAAGTAAATTGAAACTGAGAGCTTGCTCTTGACAAGTTAACAGTCTCAACAGATGTATTAACAAAACTTGATATAACAAACATACATGGACATTATAGCTAATAAACAGAATAGTACTGCTTATCAAAACCAGAAGTTTTGATTTAAATTTTGCATGCCAGAACACAAAAGCTATGAAGAGAATACCCACAAGTTGAGTTGCTATCAGTTGACCCAAACTTTTGCAGTGTCAAGACTTTTTGTCTTCTGCCTGTACAAAGGCAGCTCGTCTCTTCTGATATTTAAAGCAGACAGCCCAAAGCCTAATCTAAAAATCAGGCAGTCAAGACAAAACAACAAACTTTTCTTTTCTGACTAGTTTTTCAGATGTGCAGGAATTACTTTTTAACCATTTCCTGTAAGAGGAGTCAGACTACTGTCCCAATGCAACCCCCATTCAATGTCACAGTGAAAAATTTAGATATGTCACAAGTAGCAGAAATGCAGCCTCACCACTGGGTCTGATCTTGAATGGAATAAAGATCAGATCACACAGTAAAATCAGTAAGCATTTTATAGACCCAAACCTCAAAGCTTTTAGGAGGCAAATGAGAAACTTCTTAAAACAAGGGCTGCTGAACTGCTACAGCACAAAGCTCGTTCAATATAAATACAGATTTTGTGGGGATTCAGTTTCAATTCAGACCAGATACTTGGCTGCCAACCTCAAACATTAAACCCCCACATTGGAACATCTAAAACTAATCTTCACAGTATGTCCTTATATATTTGACTTTCTGAACAGCTTAACCACAGTGATATTAGAGAGCTGTTTTTCACAACTTTAAGGTTTTTGGACCACCTAAAAATTTCTCATCTGGAGGTGCGGCCCCTTACACAGCAGCATTTGCTAACAAAGAGGGTTTTTGCTTTGTTACCTCCCACAGCTCCCTATCCTAGTTCTCCATCCACCCCAGAGGTTTTATATGCTCAGAGACTGAAAGAAATTCATGATCCACTTAATTAGTACTCACAAGTAGCAATATCAAAGAATGGCTAAAATTAAAGGGCCAATTAGATAAATGCTAGATCACTTCATTCTTTCTTCTGCCAGTTCTGCTTCACATCTCCTTTTCCATGCAAAATATTATAATGTTCCTATGGGTGCCTCTTTTCCTGGGATTCTAAGCTCTCAAGGAAACACATCCCTGAAGTTAATAACTCCTACTGGAAAACACAGAATAGCAAGGTCACAGCAGAGTCCTTATCTTCAACTTTGTTTAAAGACAGTTTACTCTTTCAAACCCTCTGTTCTCCATTGTTAAGGACTGTGCATGAAGTTCATTTTTACCATTTCAGCATCAGAGACCTACCATTTACTTCCCAGCATAATTCTACAGAATATCTTACAGTTCCATCCTGTACCAAAGTCCAAAGCATCGTTCAGACTCTACTTTCTGCCTGCTAGAGCATTATAGGCTACAGCCCTTCACAGCTTTAAATCCTTTTCTGTGATACACTTGCTGTACAAAAGGAGCATAATCAACATTTGCATTCCAGTTCCACACCCAGTGAAATGCTGAGCAGTGCAAACAAAACTAATTCAACTAAAGGGTTCAGGAAGCAGTTTATCAGCTAAAATCAAGATTCCCTGACAGCGTTCTCAGAAGACAGTCTGAAGCAGAACATTAATTCTGTCTGAACAAACAAGTGTTCATTTCTGTCATGCCCCAAAACTGGCAGCTGCCAACACTGCAGCTTGTTACTGGAAGCACT